CCTGACTCTCCTGAGTGTCCTGACACTCTCAGATGAGAGAGGAGGAGCAGGGACCTACACACAACTCAGCCTCATGCCCTACTTGTCTACGTGCTGGAGACAGTCTTTGTCCGTTGTGCTCCTCTGCGGAGCTGTAGAAAGAGCAAGGAAGAGCTTGTCAGAAGGAGGAAGCCTGTGTGCAAGGCTGTGTCACACCAGCCTGCCTTTGTCTGCCATCTCATCTTCCTTTGGAGCAGTTGGCGTGGCTGGGGATGGATGTGGGAGCTTTCCCAGCTGCCCATATCTGCAGTTAGCTGGCGAGGATGAAGGGGGAGTGCAGCCACACCTATCTCATTTGTGCTTCAGGAAGGAGCAGCCAAGGGAATTTGAACGGGGCTGAGAAAAGAGGGAGAGAAAGTGAGCATGTGTGTGTGTGGAAAGGATTTGGAGGGGAGACAGTGGAAAGCAAAGCTAGCACTCATGCGCTGAGCTGAGAAGTTGCTGAAGAAGCAGGACAAGTAAGAGTAGCAATAGTGAATAGCAGTACTGCAGAGCAGTTCCTTTGTTCCGATCAGCTTGCTGGGGAATCTGCATGATTTTAATATACAGTTTCCTGGGGCTTCATGATGAAACAGGTTTTCCTTCTATTTTCTTCCTCAAAAAAGCATGCACAGCTGTCTAATGCACAGCTAGTTGTGAGACCGCACATGTAGCTACGCAGTCACACCAAATCACAGGACAGGTGGGTTATTGTGGTCTTGTGAACCCATGTTCTGTTTGTTGAGCAGGACTGCAACACTATTGGCAGATGTATTCATTAATACTCTTTGGCTTTACTTTGTCTAATATGTGACTGGCCTAAACACTGTTCGGTCTGAAAACAACATCCTTTTTTCCTTTAATAGCCTACATAAACAGAAAAAGTAGATGTGTCTTACTTTGGACCCCTTTGCTGTGACAACATCCCAACTGGGATGGAAGCAGAGGGCATCCTGCTTTTCCCTCTGGGACTCATGGTGTGTGTTCCTGGACAATGAGCAGACTCAGCCAGCCACAGTGGGACAAGCATTCCCTATGTATCACGAGGCAGCTCAAATGGTAAGACAAGGGACTGGGCAGACAGTACCTACCAACAGAATGTGATGATCAAGAACAAGAAAGGACTCATCTAGTTTGCAGGTCCTGGAGTACATATAAGCATGAGAGCGTTCTCTCTCTTGATTGCTAATACTGCTTACAAGTAACAAAGGAAAGAGGTTCCAACTGTGCATGTGAATACATACATCTCACGCAGGGCTGATTTTACCCTTTGTCAGGTGTTTTTAGTGACCCTGTTCTGCAAGAACATTCTCCCCTCTGCAACCTGTGTGATATTCACAGGCAGCTGGTGGGAACAGTGGTTTTGGTTTATTTTTCCCTGTCCATCTCCTTCTGATTATTGGAAATGAAGAGAGGTGAAGGCAGAGCTGAGGCTGTGCATTGTGCAGTGTCCCGTTGGCAGCATCCTGAGCCTGATGATGAATGAGCTTGTTGTGTAAGATCCTCCACTGAGGCTTCAGCATCTCTAATAAGGTGGCCAGTGTTTCACTGTCCTCTGCGCCTGCCTCTGCCTTATTAACTGCACTGCAGCAATATTAAGCTGGAGCACTGGGCCAGCACGATCAGAAGGAAAGAGGCTGAGAAGGAGTTGGAGGGAAGAAGATACCAGGATAGTGTGGGAGAAGAGGACACACAGAGCAGGAGAATGAGAGCACTGTGGGCTGTTAAGGCAGAGGATTAAAACACGGATTCCTGCTGGAGTGATGCATGCAGGTCTGCACAGAGCTGCTACTGGCAGTCAGCAAGGCAAAGGATGTTTAGGGAGGAGGGGGCAGGGCCAAACCTTGGTCTTAATGTCTCTGTCTGCTGGACCTGTGCTGGTGACTGCAAGCTGGCACCTGCTCCACATGCACACAGCAAGGGCTGGCTGGAGCTGTACCCTTTTTCTCCCTTGTGCTGATTTCATGCCCTTTAAACTCTGCTGGCAGGGCATCTGTCCCTTTCTCCTGACCACCGCAGCTAGCCCAGGGGAGTCATTTGGCCCATGCTGCTTTTCACTCAGAAAAGCCAGTCTTTGCAAAGACATCCTGGGCCAGTTCTGTCTGGATGCCAGGACTGTAGGGCTGTAGTAAGGATGTGCAGAAGGCAGCGAGTTGCCCTGTCTGTCCAAGTTGCAGGTTGAATAGAGACAGGACACAGGCTGAGAGAAGAGGTGAGTCTGAAGTATTGTCCCAAGAGGAGGTATATGGCAGGGCCCAGCCCCCAGCTTCTGTTGGTGATCCAGGTCTCTCCTGGGAAGCAGGACAGTTGTGACCCATTGGGGGTGTGTATGTGCCTTTACAAATTTCTTTTTTCCCGGCCAAGCCTGTGAGGCAGTCAGGTATTTATTTGCTTAAACCCGTGTGCCCCTTAGGATAGACTCAATTAGGGGACCTAGAGCTTTGCAGTCCAGACAGGAGGCTGATTTCTTGGTTTGTCCTGGATCAGGTGATGTGGGAGAGTAAGTGATTTGACATAGCTCCCAGAGGCTTTAGATACCCAAATTCCACCTAACTCCCAGCTGAGGTGGAATTTGCATTGTCTGAATCTCACCTCCAGGCTTCTGTCTGACAACCCATTTTGTTTCTCTTCTAAAGGTTATGTCTAGATGAGAGAAATGCCTCCTGACCTCCTCCTCTTTGCTGGCTGCCTTCTCCAACACCCCAGTGCATGGCAGTCTGTGGGGAGGAGCTACTGCCAGCCCCCCCAGTCACTCTCCACTCCCCAAAATGCCCCATGCCAGGAGCCGTACCACTCCAGCCTCCTGCTTCAGGCTTGTGACCCCTCCTCTCCTCCCACATAACTGGGGATGCGGTGCTAATAATCACAGCTGAGATCGCTGTTCCTGGGGCCAGCTCTGCTCCCACTTGGCAGAGCAGTGGTGCAGAGGGCTGGCAGATGGGACGGTTGAAGGGTAGGCATGCCAATTGGATCAGCACCCAGCTTGCATGCGTGCAGATGGGGCGTTGTTAGTACGAATGGATTCTGGCAGCATCCCCATGACAAGTTCATGCTTGGTTCCCAGAGGCACTGTCCTTGTCCTGGCTGCTGGGACTGCTCCCAGGTGCCTTGTGGGAAGGCACTGGGCTAGGGGAAGGCACCGGAACAGTTCCCAGCCCTCTGACCTGTCTTGCCAAAGGGAGGAGGAGGACAAGGAGGGTGGAGAAAGCAGTTCCTCAAACAACATGCACCCTGATCTGTTCAGGTGCAAAGGTCTCTTTTAGGTACAGTGTTTCTGCCAAGCACATCTATATTGTTCCTCTGCCCTGCCTTGCTGCTGATGGTCTTCACTGTGCCCTCACTCCATCTGCTTGCCCGCACTCTCCACACTTTTTTGTTGTAAACCTTCCTTCCTGTGTCTCTGTTCCAATAATCCTGCAACTTCAGAGTTAATGATGAAGACTGAGGCTGCCTGTCAGGAGAATTGCCTTTGCAGTGAAACCTGTCAGCCTAGAGGATACATTGGAGGCAGAGGAATGCTTAGTGGGACACCAAATTCAAGTTCAGTGGGACAGTGAACACTGGGCCATGGAAAGCCCAGCTGAAGGTCTTTTTATCAGGACCAGCATCTCCAGTAAAATCTTGCCACAAAGATCCAGGCACTGCACAGGCAGGAAATTGTATCTTCACAAAGCAGTCCTTATTCTTGTCCGTCCCCCGCCAAGCAAGCATGACCGTGTGTCCTGGGTTCAGCAGTAGCAGTCATGTTTCTCCTCCTTGGTAGCTGGTGCAGTGCAGTGTTTTGACTTTCAGCTCGGGAACAGAGCTGATAACAATGATGTTTTGGTTTGGCCGAGGACTTTGTGAGCCTCATGCTCTGCCAGGGAGGAGGGGAAGGCAGGAGGAAGCAGAGACAGGACACCTGACCCAAACTGACCAAAGAGGTATTCCATACCACAGCACGTCCTGCCCAGGGATGTAACTGGGAGTTAGCCGGAAGGGCTGGGAGACTGCAGGGTTGGAGGAGGTATCGGTCAGAGCTTGGTCGGGCTTGGGGGGCGAGTTATCGGTCGGCTGGTAGTGAGGTGTTGTATTCTCTTCCCTTGTTATTTCCTTTATCATTATTATCATTGGTGGTAGCAGTAGTGATTTGTGTTATACCTTAGTTACTAAACTGTTCTTACCTCAACCCGTGGGAGTTGCATTCTTTTCGATTCTCCTCTCCGTCCCTCCGGGAGCAGGGGGAGGGCAAGAAAGGGGGGGAAAGTGAGCGAATGAATTACCTGACTGGGTTTAAACCACGACACCGTGGCAGGGAATTTTCACTGTCACGTAATTCATCATTTTTAGTGGTGGTGGTTTTGACAACAGTATTTTCCCCATTATTTTCTTGAAAATTCCATACTGCCTTAGCAAACTGAACAATGTTCAGCTAGCAAGGTTCAGCTCCTTCCAGCTGGCAACAGAGAAGGAGGGAGCCTATCCACTGACTTCAACTAGACCCCTTGCTCTGGTCTCTGAAGGGTGCTGAGGAAGCATGTCAGTAGACAGGTCCCAGCGAGGAACTACATTAAATGTCGTGGCAGCCAGGCAGCAAATGAATGAATTCTGCAGCACTGATTGTGAACTGAAAGGTATCTTGGCAAAATGTCATGCTGTGTGTGCACAGGATTTCAGTGCACTAATAGAGGTGAGTTGGGTTCATTCCTCCCCTCTTGGAGATATTGGTTCCAACCTGCAGTTGCTCTAGGACTTGTAGTTCAAGTTGTCCCCCAGTCAGAGCAACCCCAAGTCTTCCCTTCAAGGAGAGCTCAGGCTCCTGATCACTGGTTTGTACCACAGGTGAGAATTTTCAAAGTAATTCTGCATGAATATCTTATTAATAAACCAGGTGTACTTGTCTGTATAGGCAGAGGAGGAACAGGGTGTTAGACAGTGGATAGGATCCCTCAAGTTTCCAGTTTCAGGATTTTCATAACATTATGGGTTCTTTTTCTATGCAGCTGGCTCAGAGAAACACCATCCAGACCTTCATTCCTGTGCAGAAAATGGAGAAAGGCCTGTTGCTGGAGCATGTCTTGCCCAACCTGAAAGTGCCTCAGAGCTATGAAGTTCGTCTGACACCCATCACCAGCTTTGGGGCTGGAGATATGGCTACCCGCATCATCCGGTACATGGAACGTAGGTGTCTCCTCCTCGGTCCTGGCTGCAAGAGCAGGTCTGAGCCTCAGGCCCAGGGACATGGGCATGCTTAGATGTTGTCTCCTGTGACCCTTAGGTGGATCTCTCTGCTCTATGAAGTTTTGATGGCACAGTGCTATCACATTTTATCACAGCAAAAACCATGTTTTGGTTGTTGTCATCAATGCAGAGCACTAGATAGAGACCTCTGAGGGTTTCTGTCCTTCACTCAGCAGTTCTGACTCCCACTCTCCACTCTGTGGGCAGGAGAGCCCCAAAGCCCCTTTCCCCCATCAGGCCAGGCTGCAGCTTGCCATGGTATGGTGGCATATTTTAGAGGACAGTCACTGGACACTGCATATTAGCCACATGCCCATAAAAGTAAGAGGGTTTCAGGGTTTTTTCGGTTCTTTCCAGAGTTGAATGCGCAGTTCACTAGTAAACCTGTAGGTCTCTCCAATACCTGAATCCCAGATCATCCCGATGGTATACATTGACCATGCTTCTTTCCCCAGCATCCCAACAACTCACAACTCCCCCTGTTCCCTCAACCCTCTGATTTCTTTACTCCCCTCAGAAGTTTGGACCCTCTATTTCAGCAGGAAGTACAGATCCCCCTCCTCCTGTGTTTGCATGATTTCACAAAACCCTCTTGTCCTGTGGAATGACATCTGGTGTCCCCAGCATAGCTGTTGTCTCAGACTTCCACAGTGTCTCAAACTAATTTGATGACCCTCTTTGATACCAGACTTTGGTATCTTAGTGGGTGCTATCTCAGTGGTGCTCCAGAAACTGCTTGGGTTGCCATAAGGGTTCCCCTGTGCAATCCTGGGATCACCCCTTGGGTGGGGTTTTCTTAAGGTCTGTTACTGCTTGATTCACATTGAGCATCTTCTTCCATCACCAAGGCAGACACCAAGCACTTCTGTTTCGCAGAGATGCTGCTAGGAACATCTATGACCCTTCTCGATGTGTTTATTTTCAGACTTTGTGATTTGAGGGAGTACTACCTGTTCTGACTTGTTTTTCTGTTTCCTCTTCCAGCAATCAACTATCCCAACCCAACAGGTAAGTAGCAAGACCTCCTTTGTATTTGTTTGGAATGTAATGCATGCTAGTCTTAAGTGCTCCAGCAGATCAGGAATACACAGCTGCCTTTGCCAAACCTTTTTCCCCAAAAGAGAATGAAATTGCATACATGAATACTTCCAGCATATAATGCCATTTTTTTGTACCTGGAGTTACTGCCAGAAGATATACACCAGAGATATGCCTCCCACTCACACCTCTTTGACTGTGTGATCTTGAACCCACCCTCCCCTTAACATTAGCAATTTGCATCCAGTAAGCATTTAAAGTTATGAAATGTTGCCCAAAATATCTGTATTTAAGCAATGTTTATCTCCCATCCTCTTCTGACCAGGAATGATACCACTTAACATCTCTGCAGGCTGACATCTCTGCAGTCTCCAGCTCAGATGTGGTTCCTCTTGCAAGCTCCTTGAGCACAGTCCCTTCCTTCTTCCCCTCAAGTGTCACCACTGTTTACTTGCTTATTTACCTTCTGGTCATTCCTGCCAAAATAAAGGCCCACCTTTATTGATCACCAAGAGTTCCCATTGATTTTAAAAGTAGAATGCACAATGTCTCAGAATCATGGTCTTTAACAAGAGTATGATGGTGCCCACAAAGCATAAAAGAGGATTTCTAGTATGCTTTAAGTACTGATGGAGTGATCTTCAGGGGAAGAAACAAAGCCCCTTTGCTTTGACTGCCAGATATGAGCCCAGCAAAAGCTCTTGAGCAGAGATAGGCAGACTACTTGCTTTTGGTCCATGGTGAACAGATGATTCCACGTAGCTGATTCTTTCTCCTGTTTCCAGCTACTGAGTCAGCATTCAGTCTTTTTATCTATTATTCTGTATATGTATAGGCAAGCGCTACTGCTTCACTGCAGAGTGGCAGTGAGGAGAAGCCAGGGTTAGGCAATGGCAGCCAGGAATCAGGGGATGGTGTTATCTTGTTGAGACAGCCATGAGGCATTCACTCTTGCGAGTTCACACCCTGAGGGTAGTTTGATGAACCGTACCCTGCCTGAGAGCAGGAGCTTCTTACATAGTCAAAAGGATTTTGTGGCTCTGATTCCTGATTCCCTTTGCTTTGCTTTTCACCACTTTCTGGGGAAAATTTAAATATTCTTCAGAATTCCCAGTGAGAAGACTCACTGGGAAACCCTGGGCCTATTGCCAGGCACACACTTCAGAACGTGTCCCTTGGTACTAGCTGGAGGAGGCAAACATCCCAGCCCGCACGTGGAACTGACAAAACCTGGCCTTTTGCCACTTGCTTTTACACTGCATAAATCACTGTTAAAGCCAGGGCAACTTCAGTCCTAATTGTGTCAGTCTCTTGGGGTCTTTGTAAACTAAGCCTTCAGTCTGCTCACCTAGGATTGCTATGGCAGCTTGAGTGAGATGAGAACAACTGCATGAAATTTGCCTGTGGTGGAGCATAACTCAGCCACGCTTGTATTTTCATGCAGTAAATCCAACACTTCAAGTTTCTGTTTGCTACAAGTTACCCAGCCTGTGGTATATATTAGGACATGGGTTTATGCCTTGAGATTGACTGCATAAATACTTGTTTTCAAAGATGCCCCTTCCTTTTCATCTACTGCCAGTGGAATGTGAGCCCAAAGGCCTCTGGGCCACAGCTCAGTTCCCAGATTTTCATCCTAATACATGGAAATCCATGCTACTACCGCCTGTTTTCCCACTTCCCCTGCTATCACCACCTCCAGGGAAAAGACTTGGCACAGCATTGTAAAAGTATCTTCATGCTAGGCTGCCCAGCCAAATTCTGGGAGCAAACATTGAGAGCTCTCAAGTGAAAGGCAAAGATTAGATGATTAATGCCTCTGGCAGCCTGATCCAAGGGCATGCACAATGGTGATTAATTTACAAACTCTGAGAGTCACTTAATGCAATTATTTCTTCATGCATTTTCTTTCTCAGCCTAACAAGATGTTAATGACATTGGGGCAGGCATGCATGTAGCATGGCTACAGAGCCAGGTAATGGGGTTATTAAGCAATAACAAAGTAAAAGCAGAGGAAGTGAACAAAAGACATTGAGGATTTCAAACATTTAGAGGTTAGTGGCAAGAGTGACTGTAACTCTTAAAAATCAGTTAATCTGGTTCTAAAAAAAACCCAGAATTTATCTTTAAAAAAACTGCCTTAGAATTATCTTAATTCTACGGTATTACCGTAAAGATCTCTTTGAATAACTGATCATTGGAATGCCATGACCAAATTCCAGTGCTGGGCAACTCCCATTGTCCTTCTTACTTTTCCCATGCAATTTCCTTTGGATATAGCCTTCACTTTCTAACCCAGACCGTGCAGTGCCGCCTAACAAGCTATTCCAGCTCATCAGCAGTGGATGGTTTGGTTTCCCTGGCTCTAGCAAGATGTAGCCTTGCAACCTTGATGATGAAGGCATCAAGAAGCATATGGGTTTGTTGTTTGTTTTTCCTTTTGGCCAGTGTGTCTTGCCCTTCCAGAGCAGCAACACTATTTCTCATGTATCTGCAGTCTGGCTGTGTGTGGTGCTAAAATGTTCTGGGATCATGAAAAAGTACAGTGAGTGGTGATAAGTACCAGATGCTGGTTGTTGTAGATTATCCAAGGCTCCTTGCTTAATCTCTGGTGCTTGTGTGTCCCATCTCTGATAATGCCTCATAGTCCAGAGGAATCTGAGTTTTTTGCCCCATGAGCATGCGAGATTGAGATGTGAACCTGTTGTCCAGAGTTGGATTCCTCAAATCTGTGCCCATTCCTCAGGAATGTGTATAACAAGAAGGCGAAAAAAGGTGACTGCCACCAATTCCTGTATCCTGATAGGAAAGAGGACTGTATGGGCCATATTATCCCCTTGTTGCAGATGGAGATATTAAAGCAAATGGCAATCCAGTATGACCCAACCTGTTATGGTATTGTGAAGCTTGCTTCTATTACTGGTTAAAAATACTTTAGAAACTTACCACAGTAGATGCTTTTTCTTAGATCTCAGCGTACGTTGAGGTTGCAATACAGTTTTCATTGTCTTCATCATCTAGATGGGGAAACTGATCTCCAGAGGGTAAACGATAGCCTGTGGGTCACACAGCAAGTCTGCAACAGAGCTGAGGCTCGAAGCATGGTCCCTTATATTCCAAGCCAATTTCAGTCATCAGATCACAGCTAAACGACAAAGGCAATTTTATTCAAGTGCATTCTATCTGCTATTCACCCATGGTCTGCATCTAGAACAGGATGATTGTTATTTGTATTCGTCTGGCAGACAGTATTTTAGGTCCAGGGATGGCTTCTCCTTAAGGACTTTAAATGAAAACCTCCCTTATGTTTCTCAAGAAGGCAAAGTAACAACAAATACTAATAGCCACATCGAAGGGTCTCTCCACAGGGCATGCAGGGAGGTGTCTGTAACCGGGAGCAAACATCTCTGCACTTTGAGCTGCTGCCACTGAAAAGCCTGCCAAGGAAATCTGTTTGGTGAAGACAGCACTAACTCCAACCTTTGAGGAACCAGTTCCCCTGCCACCTCCACCTCGCCTCTGACAATCCAGAGAACAACTTCTGTGTTCAATATTTAAATCCACTGTTTAGTTTTTAAACGGGAAGCTTCCTTTGCACCACAGTGCTGAGCCAGGATCCCTGGCAGATGGTGTGAGTCTGCAGGAAGGTCTGCTTCACACAGCCGAGGTCAACAGTTAGATCACCACTGTGGCCTCTGAGACACCCAGCAGGTCAGTTAAAGGTTTTCTTTGCAGCTGTATCTACCAGGTTTCCCCTTGTGAGCCTTACTCATAACAGTCCAGAGCTAATGTGCTGGCAGTAGTCCTAAACCACACCAACATCTCTCAGTTATTCTGGGCACCTTCACTTCTAGTTCAGAGAAATGCGAGAGCTTTGCCTTCCTGTGGCTTGTTTTAAACCAAAGGACCAGGAGTCAGAGCGTTTGGATTCTGTTTACAGTTTTGGCACTGCCTTCTGTGACCTTAAATGTGCTTCTCTATACTTTTGTGCATCTGTTTCCCTGTATGTAATGCAGGAGATTTATAGAAAGAGGCATTACTACCTCATAGAGATGTTAAGAAGCCTTGTTCATTAGTTGTTGCAAAGTGCCTTGAGATCCCAACTTAAGCAGAGGCAATGTGCTGTAGTTACAAACTCCTGCACAGCAAATGGTGCTGCACATAAGCTTGATCACATTGTGGTACCTGTGGGATATCTAGGACCCTTTTCTACTTTCTGATCTCTACCTCCTCTAAGTAGCTGCATCTGAATGAGAGGAGAGGATGGAGTCAGAGCCCTGTTTTGGCATTAGAAGAGCTCTCTTCAAGCTTTTAAGTCTTCTTCTATGAGCAGTCTTCTCCCATGGGTGTAGGGGATTTCTTACAAGTGAAGCAGATGACACAACCAGGCCTCGACAGTAGGCTGGGAATACTGTCCTCAGTCCTCTTGTCTTGCACAGCTCTCTGATTTCCACCTGAGCCTGGACTTTCTTTTGGTTTCTGGGCCTTGCCATTTAAGGGTTTACTCCTTCTCAATCAGTTGCCTGGCTGGCCTCTATGTTAGAACTTTATTCCTTGTTACGGGAATTTTGTGCTGGAGAAAGATGTCCCCTTTCTCCTCTGAAGGTCCCAGGTGCAAACCATCACAGTCCCTTTGACTGAAAAAGGACATTCATGGTGGATCCTGCTGGGTAGGATAATGACATCATAAGAGAAAACTTGTGTCTTTTAAACGAAACGTAGCTGGCAACTGTCCTGGGTTCAGCAGTAGCAGTCATTTTTTCTCCTTCTTGGTAGCTGGTGCAGTGCAGTGTTTTGACTTTCAGCTCGGGAACAGAGCTGATAACAAGGATGTTTTGGTTTGGCCAAGGACTTTGTGAGCCTCATGCTCTGCCAGGGAGGAGGGGAAGCCAGGAGGAAGCAGAGACAGGACACCTGACCCAAACTGACCAAAGAGGTATTCCATACCACAGCACGTCATGCCCAGGATGTAACTGGGAGTTAGCCGGAAGGGCTGGGAGACTGCAGGGTTGGAGGAGGTATCGGTCGGTGCTTGGTCGGGGGCTGGGGGGCCGAGTTATCGGTTGGTTGGTGGTGAGGTGTTGTATTCTCTTCCCTTGTTATTTCCATTATCATTGTTATTATTGGTAGTAGCAGTAGTGATTTGTGTTATACCTTAGTTACTAAACTGTTCTTATCTCAACACGTGGGAGTTGCATTCTTTTTGATTCTCCTCTCCGTCCCTCCGGGAGCAGGGGGAGGGAAAGAAGGGGGGAAGTGAGCGAACGAGTTACCTGACTGGGTTTAAACCACGACAGCAACCTATGAGCTGGAGCCACACAAATGTTTGTTTTGATGGAAAGAAGTCAGGGGCATTAGAGCAACACAGAAATAACAGAAAGCTTTTGGGCTCCGGACCATCCTCTGAGGAGCAGTGGGTGTCTGATACAGCCACAAGCTCCCTTCTCTCAGCCATGAGAGCTGGGGAAGGACACTTAGAAGCTGATTTCTCACTCTTTTCTCCCCATCCCGTGTAGTTGCCCCACCTCAGACCCTGCCAGCATCTGTCCTGTCATCTGCTTCCCCCTCCTCCTTCCTCCTTCATCTCCAGCTGCCGTGTGACCCTCTGTGCTCAGCGCTGCAGAGCAGTGGCTAATTTGGATTAGGAAGCTAATTAGAAATGAGCAGACTGTACAGAAAGCACTTAGCCAGGGTTAATCAGCAGTTAAGTGGCCGGCCCAGATGAGCTCCCAATGGCTGTACTCAGCTCGCAGGAGCAGCATTTCCCCCTGAGCTTACAGAAAACCCAGCTGCCCTGGTCCATGAACCGAGCCCTTGGCTTGCAGCACAGTGCCCAACCTATGGTGGCAAAGACCTTTATCTGAGCCATAGCAGGAGGCTGCCTTCACTTTTCTCACAGCTTTGGTGGGATGCTGGACAACGACAGGCAAGAAGGGGAGCCCACTTTCCTACCACAGGGGTGTGCAGGCTGTTGATTTGTTTGGATGATGATCTGTTTGGATGATTTGTTTGGATTTTCATTTCCAAATGAGAGGGGATGCAGAAGGCCTTGGCTGCAGAGTAGGAACCAGGAGGTGTAGCATCTCAGAGTCAAGATGCTGTTTATTCGTGGGTGGTCTTTCCTCTCTGGTACAAGATGGCAGATTTTGGTGTGCATGGGTAGGTGTGTGAAATTCCTACATCACAAAGTTCCACACTGGGAGCTTTTGGCCCTGGCATTACAGAAAGCCCATCCCATCCTTGGCACCCAGCCCATAGGTTGCTGACCCTGCTCTGCCCTACATGTTTTGCCAGTCACCCATGCTAGGACAGAGAGCTTCCTGCCCAGGAACCAGAGCAAACCATCAATGAAGATACAGGAGCCCAAGTAGACATTTGGGCTTCTCTTCATCTGGGCATGATAGCAGGAACAGTGAGGGGGGGTAAACCCCAGCAAGTTGAACCTTGTACCAGCATGCCATGGATGAGGTTTCTAGCACTTCCCAAGCCTTTAGCAAGAGCCTTGATTTTCTCTCTGTATGTGTTCTTCCAGGGGTTTTTGAGTACTTTATCTTTCAGTTTCAGAGCACACATCCTTGCTTTTACATAAAGGCAGAAGGCAGAGATCTGTACTTACTGTGTCTGCACCACTCATGAGGTCTGAGATCCCACTCTCAGCCCATTCTCCAGCTCTGTTTTTTGCCCAGGGACCTTTCAGAGCACAAAGCACTTTTCACATCAGGTCTTGGACCGGTTTTCTCTTCTGCCTGTTTCCTCCATTTTTCTCCTACTGTGTCTGCAGTGTAAACCTGGTTCTTGGCCTTTTTTCTCTGTGGCTTGGGAACTACTTTTTTATCGCAGAGGTTACCATCTTCAGTCTGGTCAAGTCCAATTCATTCCAATCTCTGCAAGACGATATTGGGTTACGACTATGCACAAGATTTTTCACCTGTCTTACAATATTGCTGTAGGGTGTAACTGTCTCGTGGTAGTAATAAAAGCAAGCCCTGCTGCACACGTGGTTGATCCTACATAAAAATCTTTTACCTACATGACTTATTTTGTTAGGGGAACCAGCATAATTTGCAATATCAAATGTGCCTTTTAGCTGGTATAAATTGGATATACTCTAGCTAAATGACACATTCATAGCGCTGAGCTGACCTCTTCTCCACAGCTGAATTTTTTTCATGTGCACCATAGTTTAGTTAAATATATAGCCCAAAGAGGGGTCATCTGCTGGAAGTTTTTATGCTCTCCTGGGGAAATTATTCTATCATCAAGTTGTTCTGGTTGAAAAGCCTCTGTGGCCTGTTTGCCCTCAATGTTTTTTTTTTTACCCTCCTCTATGTTTGCCCCTTCAGACCTCCCAGCAGAATCTCTCTTTAGCCTTCTTCCATTTTGTCAAACCAACACATGCATCAACCTGGAATTAAGCCTTCCATAATCATACTAATCATGGATATATTCCTTTTCAGCCTCCTCCTGGGGTGGGGGGCTGCCCATCTGTCCCCAGCTTGATGCAGAACCTCAGTGGTGATGTAGCAGTGCTGTGAGACACGCTGCAGGCACCCAGGCACCCCTGGGGAGGAGGTTTGAGAAGCGTCAGCTGACCACCCCATTCCATTCCCCACAGATAATACTTGCCGCTTTGAGGATGAGAAGATCTGTGGCTTCATGCAGGACAAGATGGACAACTTTGACTGGACCCGGCAGAACGCCCTGACGCAGAACCCCAAGCGCACGGTCAACACGGGGCCCCCCACAGACATAAGTGGTACGCCGGAGGGTAAGCACACATTTGGGGTTCTTTTGGCTTGTCTGTGGAGGCGAGCTATAGGCCGCTGCTCGTCAGGAGTCTTACAGCTCTGGGAGCTGGTGGAGCACTGATCTGCTTTCCACACAACACGCTCCTCCTCTACACGGGGTGCAGGGAGCAAGCAGTTAATTTGCATGTTACTGATTGGCATTAAACACACAATTGAAACACCCACGACTTTGTTTAAGGGAATAGTGTGAGCATTAGTTCTTGTTACCAGCTAATTGCCTGCTGCCTAATTTCCTTGTCCCATCTGATGCTTAGTGTGAAGTCAGAAAAGGATGAGCAAGTAGGAGAACATCACTAACAACTAGAAACCATAATGCTGGTTTTAGACAGATGTTTCTTAAAGAAGGTCTTGTGGAGGCAGACAGATCTCCTTAGTACCAAGCAGGAGCATGAGAGACCAGGTGGGAGCTGCCTGTGGGGTGGCAGCATATGCCTCACCTCTAGCTGGAAGGGACTGCTGTCTTGTATTGCTCATGCTAGCTGTGCACAGAGTACATGCCCCCATTTCAGCTAGGCATTACTTTCCCCTTTCTCTAATGAGGAGAGTAAATTTGTATGCAAGCACATATGTCTGAACTCAGAAAAAATGGGAAACATCCAATGGCCAGATAAGGAAATGGCTTTTCCCATTAGTGTTCAGTAGACCAGCCTGATTGAGCATTGAAAACTATGCCAACAAATCAAATAGCTAATCTGTTCTTCCCTGAGTTGTTAACAACTACCTTGGTATTGTTCTCTTTAGACAACAAAGTTGCTTAGGCCAGATATACTGAATACTCACTCCCTCAGCTTGAGGCAGAGAAATTAGGCTGCAGTGTTTTCTCACTTGTTTTTCTGGTTTTCTCCTTACATGGTGCAGTCAGCTCTGGGGCTCCTCATACTGCAGGAGAAAGGCTCGTTTTGCACCCAGACAGATGTGTGTGCACATGTTCAAGCACTCATCTGCTGCATGACCTCACAGAGTGTCTGCTGGCATCCATCCTAAATCCTGCTCTCCTAAATACTGCAGAGGGGAGGCACTGCAAACATCCTGCAAGTGTCTATGGCTGGGATCACAGTGGGTGCAGAGCCGATGAGGAGAGCAAGGCCATGTCTCTGAGAGGAGGAGTGGTGTCCCAGCCTCCGGCATCCCATCACTTGCAGGAAGGGAGAAGCGGTGCCTTTCCCCACCTTTCCCTCTTGCTCTGCAGGTTATTACATGTTCATCGAGGCATCCCGGCCCCGGGTAACAGGAGACAAAGCCCGGCTCATCAGCCCCCTCTACAACATTACTGCCAAGTATTACTGTGTCTCCTTCTACTACCACATGTACGGGAAGCACATCGGTGAGTACCCTCTAGGGAAGAAAGGTAAATAGTGCAGGCTGTTGGGGGAGACCTTGTGCCTGCAGCCAGCAATTCAGGAGGGTGGGAGTCCTGTTCCAGTGCTCGAAGAACCAGGGTGGGATGCTGCTGTCAGATACTTGTCCTTTACCCACACACTAGCGGTGTCAGGGTTGTGAGGCTGTTGCAGCCTATCCTCAAGGCAGTATCTTGCAGTCAGCCACCACCCCTTCCCCTCTGGCTCAATCCTCCTGTACTATAAGGCTCCCTACTCTCCACAGAAAAGAGCATTGTACCCATGTGTGTACATTTTCCCCGCTCATGGCCACAGCCACCTTGCTCCAGGCAGCAGAACACCAGGTGAACGGTCCATCCATTGGAAGGGAGACAGAAGTGAAGGGGCTATGTGGGAGCAGAGAGCTCTCTGGTGGCTGCAGCTATTTTGGGGTGGGCAGGATTCATGTTCCTTCAACTGTGCCAAGGGTCTCTCTGCTCTGCCTGACTCCCTCCTCTCTAACTGCAGCAAGCGCCCCAGAAGCGCCTGGCACACTAATGAGTTTCCATATCCAGTCAAGGAGCAATTGCTAATTCGTCACCTCTTGATTATAATTTCATTAATTTGAATAATAGATGCACTCTTCCCAGGGCACACTGGGTTATTAATCACCTGCTGGACCGGAGCCTGACTGAAAAATCAGGGCCCAGGCAGGAATGTGTCCGCCCTTCAGTAAATGGGGTTAATTAAGAGTTCTCTGCTCAGCACCATTGATGTCACTGGGAGGGAACATGCTCCCACGTCTGGCCATCACATCTCTGCACGTGTGTGGCATGGCAGAGAGGTTAAGCTGCAAAATTTGGGATCTCCTTCTCTCAGTGGGGTTGAGGCTGAAACCCTGACCCCATGGATGCCAGGGGGTAAGGGCTGGGCTGCGGGTCACTGAGCAGGTCTGCATCTCTGTGTTTGGTCTGAGGGTTGCATTCATATTTGCTGTCTGCACTCAGAGTCTGGCTAAGTCAGAGATGTTTGCATTACCTGTATTCCCCCTACAGCCAGGCTGCTCCGTGCTGTCTTCATGTGGTGGCAGGTTGCTCAGGCAGAGCACTGGCAGTATAGGTGCACACTGGGTTTTCCCGGTCTTGCTCAGCTGACAGAATCCACTTGTAAATGCTGGCTGGCAAATTCCCTTGCTCCCTGCAGTTGCCCACCATGGTCAGTCAATTGCTGCCCAATTCCTACATGTCTTCCCCTGGAGGCTTTGAAAGGGATCTCATCTTTGTGATTGCAATGAAAGGTGGCCCAAACCAGTGGGAGACTGGCAAGGAAATAAGATATGGAAGGAAGAGGCTTCTTTTGCTTTGTTTCCTTTAGGAATACAGCTATGTGTCATATTTCCAAGTTCCTGAGGAAAGTAAAAGCCCATTAGCTTTTTCTTCCTTTTGAAACAAAGCTCTGTTTTACAGCTCTGGTGTGGTGGTCTGTCTGTAGATGGGGTGGAGTGAACATGACAGGGAATTAATTCATTACACGTTTTTGGCTTTTAGCGTTTTAACTCTTTATTCATTTGCTCCACCCACAAATTGCCCAGAGCAAAAGATACAGTGACTCCCAAGACCTTAGAAAGCCGTGGAGTGCAATCCTCTATTCCTCGGCTTCAGGCACCTTTTATACCTGTTGATTTTCCCTTCATGCTCCATGTTGCTGCTCCTGCCTGCTCCTCATTATTCCCCTTGTTGCACGAGGGGACTGATGAATCTGTACAAGGTAGATAGACTCTTTAATGCCATACAACGATTTCCAGGGTGGATGCTGCCGAGCTGAGAGCAAATAAATTATTTAAAAATTAGACTGACTAGATAGAGTCAGGGAATGAAAGAGAAAGAAATGAGAAGGTTATTTTCCTCTTGGACTGTGGAACATGTGTGCTGGTCTAGCAAACCCACAATATATCTGCCTGCAAATTGAACTTCAGTACTTCGTATCAGCTCTCTACTCAGGAGAGTATATCTTTCAGGCCAGTCATGATATTCTGTAATTGTTTTGGCTTCTGTTCTACATATCAGGGCACCAAGGTGAAACTGAGACCTCTCCAGGAAAATTCAGAAGGCCTGGTAATCCTAAAAATGCCTGGGTTTTAATATTCTCACTATGCTATTTACTAAATGTTATGCTACTTTTGGTTGTTTTCCTTACTGCCACGCTGGCAGCACTCTGGCGTAGTTGTCCTCATCCCTGCACATGCACGAACGAACCTGCATTTGGGACACGCTCTGTTTCACCAGCAGGTCTAATGGCTCATCTACATTTCTAATGCACTTTGGTTATTCCCTGGCTGGTTTTGCTTGTGTAGAGGTTGTGAAACCCTGCCAGAAAGGTTCGGTTTGTTCAGATGGCGCCAGGCTCTATCTATGCCCTTGGTGGCTGAAGGCCTCTCAGAGTTCCTGGGGAAGTGGCAGCCTGCCTAAGGGCAAAGCAAGTTTCTTCAGGTGGTCTTCTTTAGCCCTGGGTTGGAAGAGAGTGACCCTCTCAGATACAGTGCTCCTTGCTAGGACTTCTCCTGTGAGATGAGGAGGCAGATCCTGGCCTTCTGCCTGTATCGTATAAGCAACCATACGAAGGGAAAGATGGGGTGACTACAGCCGTGGGCCATGTCCTACTCCCCACATAGCCAGCGGTATCTGATGCCTTCAGACACAGCCCCAACCCCTGTCTCACCCCATGCCAGCCCAGTGCTGTCAAGCCAGATGCCATCCCAGCTGAGCCAGCCACAGCACTTAGCAAGAGCTACCTAGATTGCTCCTCTTGGCAATGGGACATCTTCCAGATCGAGCCTCTCCTAGCAGCTCCAACTCCACTGTGGAGCAAACCAAAGCTTTGTCACTATGAAAAGAAGCTGTATAAAATCCTGACATTTATTTATTTTTTTAATAACCCTTTTATTACCTTTTTTTCCCCCTCTACAGAACTTGAAAGCTGGCTTACTCTCACAATTTGACTATAAAATATCCATAGCCATCCAGGCAAATCTTCCCTGGGAGAGTTCCCAGACACTACTCGTTTATAATAGATATGATGAAAGAGAGAAACAGAATACAAATGGAGCTTTTGTAGCCATGGCATAAGATATTCAGCAAGTAGCAGAGCAGGGTGATGTTGAATATGAGAGAGCAGGGTGAAGGGGAGCTCCCTGGAAGCAATTCCCATTTTTCTGGAATTATCTGGCCATTGGTTTTCCTTCCTCTAGCATCCTCCAGAGCAAGCATTTGCATTGCCCTACGATCCTGCCAGCCCAAACACAAAAATCAGGGGGAGTGGAAGGAAAGAAATCCTGTTTCCATGAGGTATTCAAAACCAAGGGTGTCTTACTTGCAGAAGTCATCAAATGAGGCATTGCTTGCTTTCTTCAGGAGAGGGAGTTAGCCGAAGCAGGCAGTGACCAGTCACCCAGTTCCAAAAGCCTCTTTGTCGAATCACCTTGGTGAGTAAGCATTGCAGCTGAGAGCAGATCCTTGCTTCAGCCATGAGACTCCTCTTCCTCTCTTTCCAGGGCTGCCTATACAGGGGATGCTTTGAAAGGACTGCGTTGTCAGTGGGCTGCTCTCACTGCAGTCCTGGCTACCTCTCTCATGTCTCGTAGCTCAGTGGTAGCCAACTTATGATCTGCACAGCCTCCTGCCTGCTGCCAGATGCTCTTGCAGGCCCTGCAGCAATAGAAGCCTGCAAGGAAGGTTGCTCAGAGGGAAGAGGAAATTTCAGTGCATTTAGCTTTTTGTGTAGCCAACTCTATAATAGTTTCCTATCTCATGAGCCAGTGACTGTGCTTGTGGGGAAAACATGTGAGTCAACAAGTTTATTTGCTCTCAGGAGTACCTACATAAAAGCAGTGATGTAGGATGTACCAAAGCAGCATTTTTTCAGATTACTTCTGATTTGTGAGCTTACTGGTAGACCCTTTTCAAACTATGTTTTCTGTGTTTTTAATAACAGTAGTCATTACATTCAGGCTTATGGTCTCAGAGAGGTGACAAACCAAAGACATCTCCTTGCCCTGGGGTACTTACCAAGACAGGACTGTTCAGCTGCTACCTGTAGTGAAAGTGTCAAGTCCTGAGCTTCAAGAGCTGAGCCTGACTGAATGCAATGCCTGAAGACCCTGCTCTTGGCTTGCAATTTTTGTACTTTAAGCATCTTTTCTGCACTAGCAGTATCATGGTCTTGGCCAGTTCCTCTCCCAGCAATCAGGGAATGGGCTTATTTTCTGGCATGTATCCAGCACCTGTGAAGTTGTTAAAGGTGCTCTTGTTCCAGCTTAATGCTGACACAGGACTTATCTGGCCACCCCAGCTAAGTGTAGCCTACGTATAATCAGGATTAGAAGCTTCCAATGGAATTGCAAACTATTCTCTCCAGCTTCATGAGGAGGGGAAGTGGAGAGAGAGGTGTTTATCTCTTCCTGATATCCTGTGACAGGATGCATGGGAATGGTTCAAAACTGCATCAGGGGAGGGTCTGACTAGATGTTAGAAACATTTCTTTACTGAGAGGGTGGTCAGACACTGGAACAGTCTTCCTAGAGATGTGATTGAAGTAGTCAGGCAATTGGACTAAATGATGGCTGTCAGTCCCTTCCAACTGAAGTATTTTTTTCCTATTTCTAGTCTATCGTATTCCATACTATTTTATTCTATTCTATTCTAGGATAACGTGAGGAACAGGGATTTTGGTTCTCAGTCAGTAGCAACAATGACATCACTTGCCACATTATCCAAGTTCAATAGAGCCATAAGGTATCTCAGAGGTCATGGTGGACAAGCACACAGGAACTAGTGTTAGCACAGATGCCACGTGGCTGCATCTTGTTTCTGTGAAGTGACAGTAGTCAGAGCTGTCAGATCACACAGATTGATAGGTACCAGCTATTTCAATGTAAATGCAATTTGAACCATGAAGACATCCTTTTTGTAAGATTCAACATTGTAGTTCCCTCATTCCTACTCAATCCTTG